ATGTGCGAAAATCACAAGCATTCCTATATGCCAATAATAGAGAGCCAAATCATGAGTGAACTCCCATTCACAACTGTTACAAAGAGAAAAAAACACCTATGAATACAACTTACAAGGATGTGAAAGACATCTCTAAGGTGAACTACAAACTACTGCTCAAGGATATAAGAGAGGACATAAATGGAAAAAAAAAAAATCCATGCTCATGGATAGGAAGAATCAATATTGTGAAAATGGCCATGTTGGCTGGTGCGGTGGCTCACGCCTGTTATCCCAGCACTTTGGGAGGCCGAGGCTGGCAGATCGCAAGGTCAAGAGATTGAGACCACGCTGGCCAACATGGTGAAATCTCGTCTCTAGTAAAAAATACAAAAATTAGCCAGGCTTGGTGGCACACGCCTATGGTCCCAGCTACTTGGGAGACTGAGACAGAAGAATTGCTTGAACCCGGGAGATGGAAGTTGCAGTGAGCCGAGATTGCGCCACTGCACTCCAGCCTGACACCTGGTGACAGAGCAAGACTCCATTTCAAAAAAAAAAAAAAAAGAAAAAGAAAAAGAAAAGAAAAGAGAATGACCATGCTGCCCAAAGTAATTTGTAGATTCAATGCTATCCCCATCAAGCTACCATCAACTTTCTTCCTAGAACTAGAAAAAAACTACTTCTATGGAACCAAAAAAGAGCCTGTATAGCTAAGACAATTCTAAGCAAAAAGAACTAAGCTGGAGGCATCACTCTACCTGACTTCAAACTATACGACAAGGCTACAGTAATCAAACAGCATGGTACTGGTACCAAAACAGATATATAGACCAACAGAAAATAACAGAGGTCTCAGAATTAACACCACACATCTACAACCATCTGATCATTGACAAACCTGACAAAAACAAGCAATGAGGAAAAGATTCTCTATTTAATAAGTGGTGCTGGGAAAACTGGCTAGCCATATGCACAAAGCTGAAACTGGACCCCTTTCTTACGTCTTATAAAAAAATAACTCAAAATGGATTAAAGAGTCAATGCTAAAACCATAAAAACCCTTGAAGAAAACCTAGGCAATACGACTGATGACAAAGTCATGGGCAAAGACTTCATAACTAAAACATGAAAACAATTGCAACAAAAGCCAAAATTGACAAATGGGATCTCATTAAACTTAAGAGCTTCTGCACAGCAAAATAAACTATCATTAGAGTGAACTGTCAACCTACTAAATGGGAGAAAATTTTTGCAATCTATCCGTCTGGCAAAGGTCTAATATCCAGAATCTACAAGGAATTTAAACAAATTTACAAGAAAAAAGCAAACAACCCCATCAAAAAGTGGGCAAAGGATACGAACAGCACTTCTGAAAATAAGTCATCTATGTGGCCATCAAACATATGATAAAAAGCTCATCATCACTGGTCATTAGAGAAATGCAAATCAAAACCACAATGAGATATCATCTCACACAAATTAGAATGGCAATCATTAAAAAGTCAGGAAACAACAGATGCTGGAGAGGATGTGGAGAAATAGGAACGCTTTTACACTGTTGATGAGAGTTTAAATTAGTTCAAAAATTGTGTAAAACAGTGTGACAATTCCCCAAGGATCTAGAACCAGAAATATCATTTAATCCATTAATCCCATTGCTGGGTATATACCCAAAGGCTTATAAGTCATTCTACTATAAAGACACATGCATACGTATGTTTATTGCAGCACTGTTTACAATAGCAAAGACTTGGAACCAATCCAAATGCTCATCAGTGATATACTGGATAAAGAAAATGCAGCACATCTACACCATGGAATACTATGCAGCCATAAAAAATGAATTCATGTCCTTTGCAGGGACATGGATGAAGCTGGAAACTAACACAGGAACAGAAAACCAAACACCGCATATTCTCACTTATAAGTGGGAGTTGAACAATGAGAACACATGGACACAGGGAAAGGTACATCACACACTAAAGCCTTTTACAGAGTAGAGAGCAAGGGGAGGTAGGGCATTAGGACAAATACCTAACGCATGAGGGGCTTAAAACCTAGATGATGGGCTGATGAGTGCAGCAAACCACCATGGCACACGTATACCTATGTAACAAACCTGCACGTTCTGCACATGTATCCCAGAACTTAAAGTACAATTTTAAAAAAGAAGAAAAAAAGACATTGGGTATTATAAATATCACAGTGATACTTATTAATATCACAGTGTAGAAACACTGGATATTATAAATATGGCAGGAATATTTCAATATTATCACAGTGTGTAAACACTAGGTAGGATAAATATCAAGTGCTATTTTACCAGTGTCGCAGTGCATAAACCCTGTGTGTAAACGAGATGTAGCAAATATCAGTGATGTCACAATGTGTAAACCGACGTGTAAACGTGGGATGCTGCAAATATCACAGTGATGTTTCATCGACATCACGATGCTTAAACCTGTGCGTAAACATGGGATGTTGCAAATATCACAGTGACATTTCTTCGATGTCACAGTCCCTGTGCCGCGTCTGTAAACAAGGGATGTTGCAAATATCACAGCAATGTTTCTTCAGTGTCATGGTGTGTAAACACTGGAGGTTGTAAGTATCACAGCGATATTTCATTGATGTCATAGTCTGTAAATACTTGATATTATAAATATCAGAGATATTTCATTGATATCACAGTGTGTAAACACTGGATATTATAAATATCACAGCGATATTTCATTAATATCACACACTGCCCCATTGACCCAGGGCCAGCCACAGTATTATTTTCATGGGCCCTAGCTACTTTTGTTTTTGTGCACCCCTTCTTCCATAAAATAATTTAAAAATGAATATTTTATTACTGCATTTATAAAAAGAGGACTGTAATCTAGGCTGGATTATTATATATTGCTTTTATGACGTTCCTTTTCTTCTTCTGGCTTTTTAAGAAAGTACAATTAAAACATTTTTACAGGTCCCTAAAATTACTGTGTGCCTCCTGTGCCTAATGGAGAAGTCAGCCCTGCACTGACACCTTGAGTCTCAGCTTGCAGCAGGCTCATTCAGACACACTTTTCTCCAGCCTCTTTCTGCTGTCTTTGCACAAACTTTGCCCTCTTCCTGGAACACTCTCCCTTGCATTTTATCCTCATTTATCCCCACTATCCCTCACAGAGCATCAGAATCTCCTTACAGCACAGATCACTGAGACTGACCCCTGGCTTCTGATTCAGCAGATCTGGCCTGTGCCCCAAAGTCCACGTTTTCTTTTACTTTCTTTTTTTTTCTTTTGAGACAGTTTCATCTTGTTGCCCAGGCTGGAGTTTAGTGGCACAATGTCGGCTCACTGCAACCTCCACCTCCTGGGTTCAAGTGATTCTCCTACCTCAGCCTCCCTAGTAGCTAGGATTACAGGTGCCTGCCACCACGCCTGGCTAATTTTTTTGTATTTCTAGTAGAGACTGGGTTTCACCGTGTTGGCCAGTTTGGTCTCAAACTCCTTACCTCAGGTGATCTGCCTGCCTCGGTCTCCCAAAGCGCTGAGATTACAGTTGTGAGCCACTGCTCTCCGCCCAGAGTCCACATTTTTAACAAGACTTGAGGTGATGCTGATGCTGCTGGTCTGAAGATGGCACTTTGAGAACTGCTGCTTTCCAGATAAGCTGCACTTCCATTTCCTCTTACCAAGCCTTCTCTGTCTAATTGGGTCACTACCAAGACAAGCTCCGCCATAGAGACCTCCACCGAGGCAGCACTGAAGGCATTAAAAAGCAGACACGCAAATAGAACAGCAAAGTGGGACTACCTGGGGGCCAACAGCCTTCCGAACTGAGAGCATCAAAGGTTGACAGCATTCCGGACTGAGGGCCTTGAGTATAGTCTGACCCACGTAGTCTCTCTGAACAGGTGATTATTATTAACAAACAGGTGTTGTGTGTTTTCTCACAGACCCAAGATAAACTAGGTAGGCAGCTGGTGCCTGCTTACCACTGATCAAGGACAAACTAGAAAGTATTCTCCACGAGGGCGCCATGGGGGCAGGGTCACATATCACATGCTTAAAGAATTGTTTTAACCAGTGCACAATGTACATATACTGTTTTGCCACTTTAGAATGCCCCAAGTAGTTTTCCACTTGGGAAGGGAGCAGCTAGGTTTTCCTTGCCAGTGTTCTTCTTAGCATAACAATATAATTTATCATAGACTCGGTATTTCTCAGCAGGTCACATTTCTCCTTCACATGCTCTGGAAGGACCAAAGGCCTCTGCTTTATCTGTGTGATTATTTTTTGCTTTAAAACCTTTTTATCTTCTTCTATTATTTTTGATACAGGGTCTTCCTGTGTTGCCCAGGCTGGAGTGCAGTGGACCAATCACAGCTCACTGCAGATTCAACCTCCTGGGTTCAAGAAATCCTCCCACCTCAGGCTCTTAACAGATGCATGCCACCACGCCTGGCTAATTTTTAATTTTTATTTTGTAGAGACTGGGTTTCACCATGTTGCCCAGGTTGGGCTTGAACTCCTGGGTTCAAATGATCCTCCCGCCTTGGCCTCCCAAAATATTGGTATTACAAGCATATGCCACTGCACCCAGCCCTGTGTGATTTATTTCTGTTTCTACCATTTGACTGTGAACTCCACGTGTCTTATTGCTAGCTGTGGGATCTGCACCCAGTGCATACACGTGGTCAGTAAACAGGTGCTGACAGCAGTTCAGAAAAATAGAATGAATCACCTTAACCTTCCAGCAACAGTGGATGAGAGTGTAAAATCCTATCACTTCACCAGCACTATATTTTCACTTTTTTTTTTAAAACTCTTCAGCTGTAAATTCCACAATTCCTCCTATGCCTCTTGCCTTAGAAGCCGGAGGAGCAGGGCAGAGACTGCTTTGCGCAACCTGGGAGACTCGGCAGTAAGCCCCGCCCCGCGCCCCTCCCCCCTCCCCACCTCTAGTTCCGCCTCTGGCCATACGCCCCGCCCCGATCCCCGTCTCCGCCCCAGACCCCGCCCCCCTCCGGTTCTAAGCCCCGCCCCTCCTTCTGGTTTTAGGCCGAGTCCCAGGCCCAAAGCTGCTCTGCGCAAGCGCCTCCGGCCCCGCAGCTCCGAGAAGTCCTTTCGGAAACAAACATTCCCCAGGACAATGTCAAGACCTGGTCTTCCCCAGGAGTCAGTCAGGTAAAGCCTTCTCCAGCCCTGGCACCCCGAGCTTGACCAGCCCCGGCCTTAATCGCAGCGGGGGCCACTGAGGCCTTTTGACCGGCTCTGATTTTGCAGGCCCCGCCAGTTCACCTGCGAGCCCCGGACGGGAGCACTTGCCTCTAGCAGCCCGCAGGGTTCCCGAACCTTTGCACCTTCTCTAGCCAGGAACAGAGCCGGCTTTAGCCACTATGGTTCATACACACGCTATTCCCCTTCCCCGAGGGCACAACGCTTCTCCCTTCCTGGCTTGGATCTTCTGAAATCCGGGTCTCCAGGGTTGGACCTAAGGACCCCCGAGGGTGGCACAGCCCGCACCAGGCAGCCCCGGATTCAAGTCCCTCGGTGCCTACTTCCAATTGTGACCTTGGGTCTGTCAGTTACGTAAGCTCTCTGAGCCTGGAGGTGACCCTGTGATCACTTGCCGGTCTGTTGTGAGAATAAAATGAAAAACATGGAAAGTGAGACCATGCTCAGAAGGGGGTGGCGGCTACTGCTGTTCCTATCTTGATGGTGATTACTCCAGCAGCTAGCCCCTAAAGTAGACAGATAAGTTTTTGTAGCCTTTTACTTCCGCTGGTTTCTCTGGGCAGTTATGCGGTTTCTGGGTTGTTAAAAGCCACCAGCCCAGTTTTCTTTTCTGGAGGCGGACCTGCGTACATGAGATGCACTGTGCAATCCCCCATGCCAGCTTTCAGTGATTCTTTCCAGGCCATTTGGCTGTTGAAATCCACTGCTGTTACCTAGCCACATCTGGTGAGCACCCTGCAATCTAGGAGGAGGCAACAAACAACAAATACCTCTTGGAAAAAACTGCTTATCTAATGATGGGGAGATTTATAACAGTGGTTACCATTCACTGAGGACCAGCTGTGTGCCAGCCACAGTATATGAACTGCATCATTTAATCTTCATAAATATCCTCAAGCCTGACACAAGTGGAGATGAAACTCAGAGAAGTTGTTCTATAAACTTTTTTAAAAAAAAAAAAAAAACAGAGTCCTGCTCTGTTGCCCAGGCTGGAGTGCAGTAGGCGATCTCAGCTCACTGCAGCCTCTGTCTCCGAGGTTCAAGCAATTCTCTTGCCTCAGCCTACTGAGTAGCTAGGATTACAGGCCTGAGCCATGGTGCCCTGCTACTTTTTGTATTTTTAGTAGAGACGGGGGGTTTCACCATTTTGGCCAGGCTGGTCTTGAACTCCTGACTTCAAGTGATCCACCTGCCTCGGCCTCCCAAAGTGCTGGGATTACAGGCATGAAGCACCACGCCAGGCCTCCTATACACATCTGAAGCCAATTCTGGACATCTTATACATCTGATTTTGCCCACTATGCAAAACTGCCTTCGCATGGAAAAAGTAAATCCAACTGTTCCTTTCTAGGGCTGCCATAACACAGTGCCACACACTGGGTGGTTTAAAACAATACAAATGGTCTCATGGTCATGAAGGCTGGAAGTCCAAAATCAAGGTGTTGGCAGGGCCACTGTCCCTCAGAAGGCTCTAGGGGTGATCTTTCCTTGCCTCTTCCAGTTTCTGGTGGTTTCTGGCATTCCTGGGCTCCCAGCAGCATCACTTCAACCTCTGCCACCATCTTCACATGGTTTTCTTCCCTATGTGCATCTCCCCATGTTTTTTCTTTTCTTTCTTTTTTCTGAGTCAGGTCTCACTCTGTCACCCAGGCTGGAGTGCAGTGATGCAATCATGGCTCACTGCAGCCTTGAACTCTGGGGCTCAGGTGATCCACTTTAGCCCCCCAAGTAGCTAGGAATACAGTTTGCATGCCCCATACCCCCAGCTAATTTATGCTTGCTTGCTTTATTTATTTTCCTTTGTAGAGACTGCGTCTTGCTATGTTGGTCAGGCTAGTTTCAAACTCCTGGGCCCAGGCAATCCTCCCGCTTCAACCTCCCAGTGTTGGGATTATAGGGGTGAGCCCCCGACACGCGGCTCATTTCTGCTTCTTATAAGGACAACATTCATTGGATTTAGAGGTCACTCTAAACTAATTACATCTGAAAAGATCCTATTTCTTAATAAAGTCACACTCTGAAATTTGGGGTAGACATGAATTTTGGGGGCAAGGGGACACTGTTCAACCCGCTGTACAAACTAGCAACAAAACACACCTGTCAAAAGGATAAAAACAAGTCCACATAGGAAGGGCACCTTTTGTGGTTATAAATCGCAATATTTGCGTATTACTGGGAAATGGTTGTCAAAATGTGTTCCCCTGTCAACAGCATCAGCAACACTGGTGGGAGTTTGATACAAATCCTAATTCTCAGGTCCTGCACCAGAGTTACTGAGTCACAGTCTAGGACTGAACCTAGCAGTCTGTGTGGTACCCAGTCCTCCAGGTGATTCTCTTGCTGCTGAAGTTTGGAAACCACTGTTATAAGGAAGTTGAAGACGTAAGAGTTTGAGAACATAAGGGCCAGGTTGACAGAAGGTAGTCTTCTAACCTCAACATTGACTTTTTCAGCACACCTGTCTTCTCTGTCTATAACTATGGATTTTAAAATTCAATGATTGCATTACTGAAAAAACATTTTACTGTATTGTATGTTTCAAAGTGAACCTGTGTACTAAACTGTGTGCTTAGAAGGTTTGTCATTTTCATCTTGCAAACAACCATGCAGTTTAGATACTATTCTTTCTGTCGTGTTATTGAAAAGTACAAATAGTGTCAAAAATGGCAAACTCCTCAATACACAACAAAGCAGAAACAGAGGCAAGACTATAAGCTTTTTACCATAACTCTGCTTACCAAAATATCTGTCTGGTTTGTTTTTATTTTAGAAACAGTTTGCTAGATGATGCTAAGGCCCGCTTAAGGAAGTGTGATATTGGAAGCAAATATTCTCACTTGCCGTATAACAAATATTCCATCCTTTTGCCATTGGTGGCTAAAGAAGGAAATCTCCATTTGTTATTCACTGTCCGGTCAGACAAGGTAGGTGGACAAAAAGTTTCCTGCCCTCAAATCTCAGGGCATCAGAAAATCTCACGAAATGTTGTCACTTGTACACATTTTGAAGCCAGAATTCTCAAATGGGCTTTCAAAATCGTGATGTCGGAGGCATACAACCACAAGTCCCAGGATAACATGGTGTTTTGCAGAAGTTTTAGCAAAGAAAATGAAGGATTTAGCTGAATGCAGTTTAAAATGCTTTCAGACTAGGGTTACCTAACCTTGGTGCTATTGGCATTTGGGGCTGGATAATTCTTTGGTGTGGAGGCTGTCCTGTGTGATGTGGGGTGTATAGCATCATCCCTGGTCTCTACTGACCAGATGCCAGTAACACACACACACACACACACAGAAACACACACACACACACACACACACACACACCCCCCACAAGCTTACACACACATTCGTCCAGTATGCCAGTAGCACACGCACCACAAATACCTTCAGACATTGCCTACTCTCCTGGCAGGGATTGGGGGTGCCAAATTGCCCCCACCAAGGACCACCATTTTAGACTATCCCACCCCAAGTATAATGTAAAAATACTAGAGCATAGAAGTTAGCAGCCTAGGCTCTGAAGCTAGCTGTCCATGTTGAATGCAGGCTCTCTCCTTGCCAGCTGGGACTTTGTCCTACTTACCCTCTCTGTGCATACATACTTACCAGTATGTCACTGTTGCCTGCAATATCCGAAACAGTAAAATGGTATACAGGTGGTGGCCCAGAAGCAGGAGCTACACCATATAGCCTAGGTTTGTAGTAGTCTATACTATCCAGGTTTGTGCAAGTGCACTCTGTCTTGTTTACACAATGATGAAATTGCTTAATGCATTTTTCAGAATGTGTCCCTGTTGTTAAGCAACACATGACTACATTTAAAATAGGCAGCACAACAGGTCTGTATATCTGTCCAGCCTGCTGACTGCTCGGAGGTGCCTCTGTCCCTGGCTGCCTTGGAGGCGAACATGCTAACAGTAGAGCACTTTTTCAGGGTTGCTGTAACATTAGGTGTATTTCTTAGGCATTTGGTGAGACATGTTTGCAGTGGGTGGTGAATGTTCAAGACAGTAGAAATATGTCCATCAGCCTTCTTTTTACCTGTTCTCATGACTATAATTGATGTGAAGATGTCTGAGGATTTAGCTACGGCAGCAATTTCTGCGATGTTCCTGATTTATCAGCGCAGAAGAACTTAAAAAAAATTTTTTTTAAGGCTTGCCAAAATGAGGCAGTAAACTATAGAATGTCAAAAAGTTTATCATGGCATTGTGTTAGTGCTCTCTAACTGCTATAACAAAACACCTTAGACTGGGCAGCTTATAAATGACAGATATTAATTCTCACAGTTCTGGAGGCTGGGAAGTCCAAGACAAGCTGCCAGATTTGGTGTCTGGTGAGGGCCCAGTTCCAGTTCAAAGATAGTCATTTTTTACTGTGTCCTTACAGGGAAAAAGGAGTCTCTTTTTAAGGATATTAATCTTATTGATGAGGGCTCTGCCTCCATGACCTGACCACGTCCCAAAGGTCACACCTCCTAATATCATCACTTTAGAAGTGAGGATTTCAATATACAGATTTGTGGGAGAATAAACATTCAGGCCATCGCAGGCATCTAGTTCATCCTTACATAGATATATTGGCCCAGGTGCTAAAAAAGCCAACATGATTTCTTGATTGAGTTTCTAAATGTCCAGAACTGACCTTACAAGTTCTCAAGATTAAATATTTCATATGGCCAGGTACCATTCCTGTGCATCTACTCCATCTCCGTGGAACCATCTTCAGAGCTCTGTGAGGAGCATACTGTCATTATCCCATTGCACACAGTTGGAAAGAGGCAGGCACAGGACTCTTGCTGAGGCTGAGGGCTCCTTGATGATTCAGGAGAGAAAGGAGAGTAGGTACTAAGCACATTGGGCATAAAAGAAATTGAGGCCAGTTTGCTGAGATATTTGGCCCTGCAGAAGAGAGAAGAGTGAAGGGTTTGTGCCTTTCCAATTCTGCCCAAGATATGAGAGATAATTTTAAAGACAGAGATAAGAGGGTTAATTTTAGGATGCTACAAACGGAGGCACTGTCAGTTCTCCTAAAGGCAGGAAGGAATGAAATTCAGGAAGGGGGAAATAGGGGGAATGGAGAGACCTCTATTCCTTTACCAACAAGCACAAAGATAAACATAGATGCCAACACAGTGCTAATAGCTCCAGGACCCATATTTTCTGTGTCTTACTAAACTTTTGATAAATGTATGTTGTACTGATTAAAAACACAGGCTCGTAAATTGAACACTGGTTTATATTTCACCTCGTTGAGTAAACTTGGTCAGGTTATTTCACCTCTGTGAGCCTAAGTTCCCTTGTCTGAAAGTGGATATAATAATACTGTAAGAGTAGCTTACCTGCCCATCAGTGCATGAGTGGATAAACAAACTGTGACACATACATACGACAGAGTACTATGCAGCCATAAAAAAGGAAGTACCAATACACAGTAGAACATGAAGAACCTCAAAAACATGTGAAGGGGAAAATGCCAGACAGAAAAGTCGATACTAAGTAAATCTACGGAGACAGAAAGCAGGGACAGAGGGAGAGGGGAATGAGAATCAACTGTTGTTTGGGGTTTCCTTCTGGGATGATGAGAATATTCTGAAATGAGATGGGGATGATTGTACAACGCTGTATATGTATTACATGTCTCTGATGTTTTCACTTTAAAATCCTTAATTTTATGTGAGTTTCACCTCCTTAAAAAATTAGTAGCTTATGGAACTGTTGGGAGGACCCAGTGGGAAAAATCTTCGTGAAACAACATGTCCACAGCATGATAAGCACCCAATAAAGGACTGGACAAAATTATCTGTTGATAATGTTGCCCTTCATATTACTCTTTCAGCTTTTTCCCCCTAGCAGTGTCAATCTGTTTCTGTGTGTGTGATATGGTTTGGATCTCTGTCCCCATGCAAATCTCACGTTCAGTTGTAATCCCCAATATTAGACGTGGGGCCTGGTGGGAGGTGATTTGATCACGTAGCTGGATTTCCCCCTTGGTGTTCTCATGGCAGGGAGTGAGTTCTCATGAGATATGGCTATTTAAAGTGTGTAGCACCTCCCCTCCCTCTCTCTTCCTCCCGCTCCAGCCACGTGAAGTGCTTGCTCCTCCTTCACCTTCAGCCATGTTCGTAAGTTTCCTGAGGTCTCCCCAGAAACCGAGCAGATGCGAGCATCATGCTCGCTGTGCAGCTTGCGGAACTGTGACCCAACTAAACCTCTTTTCTTTATAAATTACCCAGTCTCAGCTATTTATTTACATCTGTGCAAGACCAGACTAATACAGTGTGTGGTATCTCTTGGGGGCAAATAGAATAATAGTGAGCAGTGATAAAAATTTGAGGTTAATTTCTTAAAAAGGATTCAAGGAAACACATTTTTGGGAGGTGGGGGTCTCGTTCACCACTTGCCACCACCTGGGTAGGAATAATCTCTGGTACAGAATAGTTCAGTGTTTGCTGAATGAGTAAATAGTTCCAAAATTAGAATCCCACATTGCGGCTCTGCTCTTTCTATATCCAGCTAAGAAGGGCTCCTGGAGAAGTTTGCTTCCCTGGAGGTAAGCAAGAACCTACAGACAAAGATGATGTAGCCACGGCCCTCCGAGAAGCCCAGGAGGAAGTGGGGCTGCGTCCTCATCAAGTGGAAGTTGTCTGCTGCCTGGTGCCATGTCTTCTTGATGTAAGGGTTTTCTCAGACTCCCAGAATCACCCCCACCAGGTGGATCTACTATTCTCGGGATTCCACATTTTCCAAACATAACCCCAAAGAGAACTCTGAGTCAAAAGACCAGGTTCTCCTATTGACATTGCCCCTCATGAGCCGAGTGGCTGTGGGTAACCCCTTTTGCCTCTCTGGGCCCCTCTTTCCCATCCAGAAATAAAAAGGTTGAACTTCCCTCAGTGGATTTCAAACTGGGTGCCAAACTGGGATGCTTCAAAATTATTAACGTTCAGTTCACTTTTATTTTTCTCCAGTATACATTGATTGTGAGAGTTCATTTGAAAACATAACACACATTCCAATGTGCTATATGCTGAATTTTAGCCCCTTGAGGACCCCCAATGCATTACTTTTGCCATAAAGACACTCATTTTTCTACATACCGTAGAATAAAGCCTCTCTGCAATGCATTAATTGAATAGAACCATGAAATCAACTAGGCAAGCTATTTAAAAACTCTTACTATTCATAACTGCATTTGTGTTAACTGAGGATTTCCTTGATAGTATAATATACACAAAAACATTTAATATATTTTTTAAAATGAATTTTGGAGCTGATATAGCCAGATCTTGTTTTCTTTTGTATTTTATTATTTATAGAGATGGAGGTCTCGTTATGTTAATGAGGCTGGTCTTGAGCTCCTGGTCTCAAATTATTTATAGAGATGGAGGTCTCATTATGTTAATGAGGCTGCTCTTGAGCTCCTGGTCTCAAGCGATCCTCCCAACTCAACCTCCCAAAGTGCTGGGATTACAGGTGTGAACCACTGTGCTCAGCTTCAGATCTTATTTTGTATCTGTTCACCACAACTTCTTTGTTGTACTAATTGACTTTGGAAAGGGTAAATATTGTATTAAGAAGTTTGATCGCTGGGCACGGTGGCTCAAGCCTGTAATCCCAGCACTTTGGGAGGCCGAGGCAGGTGGATCACGAGGTCAAGAGATCGAGACCATCCTGGTCAATATGGTGAAACCCCATGTCTACTAAAAATACAAAACATTAGCTGGGCATGGTGGTGCGTGCCTGTAATCCCAGCTACTCAGGAGGTTGAGGCAGGAGAATTGCCCGAACCCAGGAGGCGGAGGTTGCGGTGAGCCGAGATTGCGCCATTGCACTCCAGCCTGGGTAACGAGTGAAACTCCATCTCAAAAAAAAAAAAAAAAAAAGGAAGAGAAAAGGAAAAAAAAAAAGAAGTTTGATCTTGGACAATAGGATGATTTTTCTGGTATAAATGTTTTAAAGAATAGCTGTAGATTGATGGAAAAGTCATAAAGATAGTACAGAAAGTTCTGGTATACCCGAGACCTAGTTTCCCTATGGTTGTCATCTTATATCACTGTGGTACATTTGCCACAACTAAGAAACCAATGCTAGTATACTATTAACTAAACTCCACGCTCTATTTGCTTTTTGCTAGTTTTTCTACTTATGTCCTCCTTTCTGTCCTGGATCTCATCTAAGATACTGTATTGTATTTTATGGTCATGTCTCCTTAGTCTGCTGGTCTGTGATAGTTTCTCAGACGTTCTTAATGTCATGAAACTGACAGTTTTGAGGCATAGTGGTCAGGTGTTTTGTACAATGTTCCCCAATTTTTGTTTGTCTGGTATTTTTCTCATTGTTAAACTGGGGCCATAATTTGAGAACACCACGGAGGTGAAGTGCTCTCATCACATGATATCAGAAATAGGAATGAACTTTTAATGTTTTATATATTGGGCCTTCGGGTAAGTTTTTATTTCAAAAGAACAGTCCCACTGTTGCTTAACAGTTAGAAAACCAGTGGGATAAATCATCCTTTATGTTCCATTTGACGAAAGTCTTGGTGCTACAGTGTTTTAAAGATCAGTGATGCTGAGAAACGTCAGTCTTAATTAGGTTCTTTTTAAAAATAGAAAGGTCAGCACTCAAGGGTGATTTTGTTTGCAAGAAGCTAGTGGCTACTCAATAAATGTTTTCTAAGTGTGTGTGTACGAAAGAGAGGTAGAGACATGGGATTACACAAGAAATGTGTCAATTACTTCCTTTTCCATTTTGTTTTCTGATGGGAGCTCTTTTCAGTTCAGGAAAGATTTTCAGGTTCTCAAAATCTACCAGCATTTGGAGGATTTACTTTAGAAATCAATTAACAAATTTAGCTATACTGATGAAAAGTTTCCAAAATGAGACTAACTCCATTCCCAAGGTCCCCAGATGCTACTGAGTTCCACATGTGGGTGGATAGAATACAGCAGCATTGACAGGAAAATGTGTTTCCGGGAGATTCCCAGGGGCCAGACACTCCTGGAACGGGAGATTTCTAAAACAGCATGATTGAGAGATTAGAATAAACATAGGCTTTAAAGAAAGGTCTACTGTGTTTGGAAACTCAAGGGAGGGTTGCTGGGTGTTTTGGCCCTCAATAATTTTTTAAATGTACCACAAAAAAAATGCCATTTATTGAAAATTATAAGCATAACCTAATCTATGTGGTTCTTAACCTGAAGTGCTTTTTCCACGCAGGAGAATTTGGTAATATCTGGAGATCATAGTTGGGAGGAGAAGGGTGCTATTGGCTTTCCGCACCCTCTATGTAAACCCTCCCACCCCCTGTGTAAACCCTCCAGGCAGGCTGTGACTCCATAACCCCCACCCCAGTTTCCCTTTTGTCAGACATTTACGTGCCTCTTTTTACAAAGGTCTCTGATATGTACCCAGGAGTATGAGCAGCTAATTGTAGTTGTTAAGGCTTCTTTGAGATTAGATTGTTAGAAATCACAGGGTGTTGGGAACTAGACTAGGTGCCCCTAAGTTGTGGTCACTTAATGGTAGCGGCAACCACCACTAATATTTACGGAGCATACGTTGTTGGCCTCTGTCCAGGCCCCTTCATATTCCTCTTACCACCCCAGGGCTTCTGATAACTCATACTGTTACCGGATGGTCCTGATCCACACCCTAAGAGAGCGTTCTTGGATCTCATAGGGTGAGTCCATACAGCAAAGTGAAAGCAAGTTTATTTGAGAAGTAAAGAAACAAAAGATGGTTATTTTGTAAGCAGAGCAACAGCATGTGGTGCTGGCTGGCCATTTTTATGGTTATTTCTTGATCCTATGCTAAACAAGGGGTGGGTTATTTATGAGTTTTCCAGGAAAGGGTTGGGCAATTCCCAGAGCCGAGGGTTCCTCCCCGTTTTAGACATATAAGGTAACTTCCTGACATTGCCATAGCATTTGTAATCTGTCATGGCAGTGGTGGGAGTGTCTTTTAACATTCTAATGTATTCTAATTAGTGTATAATGAGCAGCAAGGATGATCAGAGGCTCCTCTCATTGCCATCTTGGCTTTGGTGGATTTTGGCTGGCTTCTTTACTGCAAGGTCTTTATGTGTTTTTTTGTTCGTTTCTTTCTTTTTTGTTTTTTGTTTTTTATGAGACCAAATCTCCCTCTTTGCCCAGGCTGGAGTGCAGTGGCACAATCTCAGCTCACTGCAACCTCCACCTCCCAGGTTCGAGTGATTCTTCTGCCTCATCCTCCTGAGTAGCTGGAACTACAGGCACGCACTACCGTAACGAGCTAATTTTTGTATTTTTAGTAGAGATGGGGTTTCACCATATTGTCCAGGCTGGTCTTGAACTCTTGACCTCATGATCCACTCACCTCGGGCTCCCAAAGTGCTGGGATTACAGGTGTGAGCCACTGAACCTGGCCAAGGTCTTTATGTTTTATCAGCAAAGCCTTCATGACCTGTATCTCAGTCTCATCTGGTGACCAAGCATGGTCTAACCTCCTGGGAATGCAGCCCAGTAGGTCTCAGCCTTCTTTTACCCAGCCCCTATTCAAGATGGAGTTGCTCTGGTTCAAATGTCTCTGACAATACCTGCAGCTTTCTTCTGAATACAGTACTGGTACCCTTGGTACCGGAGCCACCTTGCCATGTGTCCTGCACAGAGAGCTGGGAGTGCCTGTGAATTTACTTCTGGATACGCAGTCCTTAACCAGTGACTGACTGGGGCTGTGGTGCATGAAATCCCAGCTCCCTTGTCTCCACGTGGGACAAACTGCATAGTAATTTACACTCCAGAATACCCCATCGTGTCCTTGCCAGCTTTCTTCCCTTATGAGCCTTGCTTCTCTCCTCCCCTTACCTGTATCTCCTGGAAGCACTTTCTTTAAAAATCACTTGCATCTGAGTCCTTATCTCAGAATCCACTCTGAAAAACTCCACGTTCAGAGACTAAGCATTTAACCAAAGCCAGGCGTGGTGTTAGGTGCCGGCATAATGTTGCCTCTGCCCTGGGGTAACTTAATGACCCCAGATTTCCTGCCCTAAGGATATATGAAGTCTGTGTTCCTGTTGTCTTCTCCTGGTCTACATGTTGACTTTCACCATTATTTTGGTTAATGGTCTCAGTTGTCTCTGTTCCTACATTTGCTTTCCTGACTTTGGCTGTCCCTCTGAGAACATTCTGCAAGCCTGACAGGTCCCAGCCTCGCCATGCGTCTAGCTCTCTGGCTTTTCCCACCCACTTTCTCTTGGGATGCTCGAGGAATTCCAATTCTTCTCATTTTCTAATACAAAGTCAGACAGCTCTTAGCAGTTCCCACATCCTCTCTGAGCCCCAGGCCTCCCTCTCAGGGTTTCCAGTATAACAAAATAGTCTTTCATTTGACAGCACTCATGTTCATTTGCTTTCTTATTTTTATTTTTGAGATGGAGTCTCACTCTGTCATCCAGGCTGGAGTGCAGTGTCTTGATCTCGGCTCACTGCAAAATCTGCCTCCTGAGTTCAAGCAATTCTCCTGCCTCCGCCTCCCAAATAGCTAGAACTACAGGCACATGCCACCACACTCAGCTAATTTGTGTATTTTTAGTAGAGATAGGATTTCACCGTGTTGGCCAGGCTGGTCTTGAACTCCTGCCTCCTCAGGTGATCCGCCCTCCTCAGCCTCCCAAAGTGCTGGGATTACAGGTG